GTGCATCACTCCTCCAAGATTAGATTCCATGGCGTTTTGCATTGGTCCTTGCTGCAAGTTTGCGCAGGGCACGAGTTGAAGAAATTGGAGCATTGCAGTGCCTACATGCATTTCGCATCATTTTGTTCATTAGAACCACTTTGCACTCATTAAGAACGACATTTTGGTATATGGTACTCTTTATATATTACCGCATAAAAATTATAGGCTGATCGTGCGATGATGCATGTAAAATGGCACATCACTCTTCAAGGTCCAGATTTCACGGCTTATTGCACCGCTCCTTGCCCCAAGTTGGTCGCTGAAACGGGATACAGTTCCTTGGCGCTTGAGCACATGCAGTGCCAAATGTTAGCCTCCATTAGCGTAGTCCATTAAATTTATTTATGCCAGTCTATCACCAGTCTATTAAACAAATGTTCACAAATCTATCCGAAATCATAAATAAGCAAAACAAAATCTAAAAAGACAGAAAGTAGCTGACAAACTCTATCGAAGTTCCTAACCATTTTCTCAAAGTTTAGTGGTACATCATCTTCGGTTGTGATTTTCAGACGCCTTTGATGTTTTGACCATGAAGGAAGCGTTCAAATATCTTGACTTCATAAGCATGAATAAGCAATAATTTCGCTTCAAGCAGTACGCAATAATAAATGATAATGAAAAAGCACTGACTGATACTGAACTTTCCTTTGATAATTGAGAAAAAGCCGCATAAGCAACATTAATCACAAAATCAGATGGTCATACGTTAGTCGTATTTGGTAATATGCTTGCTTCCAGCATTTAAACCTAAAGAAGACACAGTAATCTGATTCAGAACAACGACAGGCATCAATAATGAAGAGCTAACTTGCGTGTTATGTTCATGATAATAGTGGCAACAAAATCTGGTGACTAGGGTGCTAGGACAGGTTTCAAGACATCTGTTAATATTATGAGCTTGTTTTAATTGATTTAAAATATTTCCTGGAAACCTGCGGGTTATTTCCAAAATATAAGGAATTTCAAATGCTGATCATTGTAATTTGATGAATATGATATATATTAATGGCCAAAATTTAGATACGCTATTCTTATCAGAAATACTTATCCAACTATGCATGCTAAAGACGCGGACTTGAGTCCACCGTGACATACAGCTTTCATACTAACTAATGATTCATTGTATTGTGTTTTGGTGGGGCCAGCTGATAAATGGTTAGCAACTCAGTGACAACAAGCAAACAGTTGGGACATCACGGTATTGTAGTGTGGTCATGCAGTGCATGGGAGACTTATGACCACATGATTCATGAGAGCCACTTTGGGCTGCAATGCACCTTTACCCATATGATAGCTGACTAAAGGAGTATCCCGTTAAATAAATTCATTTATTTATTCTAAAATTAACTGCTACAAATATTAAAATTTATGTTCGAATTCCTGCCTTCAGGACCCTGTAGGTTTTAGTTTAAGTTCAGTTTCCATTACTGTGTCCATTGAACTGAAGCGCCTCGCTCGCTCGACAAATTCAATAAATTCACGTATTGGTTTGACTGGGTTTTGAATCCAGGAACATTTAATGCTTCAAGTTTGGTGCGTTTTGATTAAGCTTGAAAGTTGTCGAGCATCCATTTTCCTTAAATTGTGGAGCTTGATGATAACCATGAATTTCTTACGTAAATGAATGAAGCCTCAGGCGATGAATGACAGCACTCTACCGATTATTCAGAGAGAACGCCTGCAATCAATAGTTGATATTGACTCTAACTCGAAGATATTTTGAATGAATTAGCAGCCTTGACCTCAATCTGAAAAAAACGAAGCAACTGTATGCTGACTAAAACAGCTAACATAGGAGGAAGAGCAACATTAGGCAACTGTTTAAAACTGAAACAACTTGATTTTGCAAAATTGCTACCTGATATTGCAATTCATTGGAATGTTTGGAGATCTGTGGTTATTTTACCCTTGTATTACTTCGTAATAGAGACCGAATGCTCTATGGCATTGTGTGGGCTATAGAATTATCGTGATGCAGTGCAATATAGGATTTTCGAGCAAGAGGACTCGATTCAATTAAATGATCACACATGCTGCAAAGAGCTGTTTATTTTCTTTATGTGGAACTGCTCAAAGTTTTCAAATCTCACCTGAACAAAAGTGGATAACATTCGTTTAGAGGATCTATCGCAAAAGTTTCTGTTAGGAAATCTAATTCTTAGGGTTGGCTGAAGGAGTCACGTAAAGGAGTTTCATACCGATGAATTGATCACCAGTGGCAACTATGTTGGCATAGTGAAAGGCAGAGGCAAACTGTCAACTTTCGGAGTGCTCGTTTCTGGCTCAGGTGCTATTTGTGGAACGTTCATTCATGTAGCCCATGGTGTGGCACAGATCTTCGATATCATCAACGAACAGTGTCTCACATTTTTCTAAGCAAAACCTATCACCAATTACTCATTATAACGTATAATGCTCTGCCCCCCCCCCATCCAGTGAAGTGATATTCATTCATCTATCACAGAACAATGAAAGGCCAGCGATTCGGCGGAAATTAAAGACTGCAATCTATAAACATCTGTACTTTTGTGATGCCAGCTACTGAAGCGAGCTTTCTGAGACGAATCGCTGAACTCGCGCGTCT